AATTACTGTTGCATAGGGGACCAACTAAGCAAACCATGGCTCAACATCTCGCAGCATTTGCTCTCATTACCAATGAAATACCAGAAACTGGCACTCCATGTATGCGGCAACATAAACGATTAAAAAATATGTTCATAAGCTGGAGAATGTCAGTAACAAAGAAGCAATGCAGTCCTCTCTGAAATTTTCTTTTGGGGAGTTACGCGTTTTCTGACGTACTCAGTCATGCGAACAATGATGTGCATGAAACAGTTGTTTATCTAGAAAATAACTGAAATCCTTTTGAAAAACAAGTAAACCGGGCGGTGCAGTGAAGCGCCTCGTAGGGGAGATTATGAGTATTATATGATGAGGTTTATAAAGTACATTAGGTACAAACTTCAACGTTTCGGTTTATGTTCGATCCGTCTTCAAGGAGCGACATAACACAGATTTTATGTAGATGAAGTATCTGTTCTGAACACTGCCTCGAACGCGTTTAGCCATGGCTAATCTTGTAATGTATGCGGTACGTGTAACGATCGTCATTGTCAAAACGCCAAAACATTGAAAGTCTCAGTGCAAATCTCATGCGATACTGCAACAAAACAACACTACCATTTCGTGCAAAAAAGAAAACTATCACAAGACACTTAATTTTGAACTTTTTCCTATTTTCTCTATATTTGCCTCAATCTTCTCGTTTTCATTCATCCTCGTTTTCTTTTTTTATATTTCTTTTTCAGCTTTAAGCGTTTGCTACCAGCTGGTTGTTGAAAGGCGAGAAAATGAATCTTAGGGTAATTCTTCTTTTCTTAATTTCCTATCAATAACCTATTCATCCAACAATATTCAACTGTCTCTTGTACATCTAACGTCATGTACTGGCGTGGCTAGATGACGCCACAGCAGAATAAGTACTGATTTTATGCGCGATGTTGTGACCTTGTTCGATCGACGAGTATTGCGAACCATCCCCCTATTATTTTTAAATCAGAAAGTTATTACAAAGGGAGAGAACTTGGAGTGAATTTGTAGCTCATTGCTTAATGCGTCATAGCATGTACAAGTGCCACGAATGCCATGAAAATAATCTTTTTGGGAGCATAAATGTTTTGTACTTCTCTTATCTGAGATGATTACCAAGTATAAACTGTAAAACTTTCGAGAAACTTATAGCGACGGCACGATGCCATTATAGCACACCAGATAAGCCTCCACGGTTATGGCACCGCCTGTGCGAGCTTACAGTCGGAAATTGGAATATATCCTCACGCAGTGAGAAAGGGTAAGAGTTACTGGATGAGGCCATAAGGTGCCAACTGGATATAGTCAAACTATCGCCATCGAACCGTCGAGGTTCTGGAACTGGGAATCTCTGCGGGTGGCAGATATTCTACTCAGGTGTCGACATGATGACGCACGCTCACGCGTGTGTTAATTTCCTGGTAGAACTCAAACTAGCTTATGGAATCATTAAATCAATGCCTGTAATTGTATGAGTGATAATCCTCCGACTTGAGTTGGAATCCGAAAAGTGGTTATCCACCGACTGGTTAGGAAGCAAACAGCATTCAACTCGCGTGCAATATGTAGGTGTGTGCAAGGCGATGGCAAAACTAGTGTCGAAAGCCAAATATGATTACTGAGAGAATTTCGGTGACGTGATTGGGTCGAATTTTCAGTCAGCAAACAAGGTAGTCTGCCAGACCATCCGCTGGCTCTGAGGTGAGGAAATGTTCAAACAAGAAGGCTGCCGTTTACAGACGACCTTGTTTGGTTAGCATTTTTTGAACTGGTCTCTGCTCTCTGGAAACGCTCGTGGCCAAGTGTGACGTGTTCGCCATGTGAGTGAACATTGGAGAAACGAAAAGTCTAGTGCTTTCTCTTTATCCTGCCCGTTGCTCTCTTCAGATTATCGGAGAGGCAGTGGAGCAGGTGGAGAAGTTAGAGTTCCTCGGAATTGTATTTACTAGTGATGGAAAATTTGAGGAAGAGATCAACTGGCATTGCAGTAGCCAATGGAATGAATTAAGTTCTGCATGAATTAGCCGGATCCATTGTGACTAGAACAGAGCTCAGTCTGAAAATTATGCTTTCGGTGTTCAAGTCGATCTTTATTCCCATGCTTACTTACGGTCATGAGTCGTGGACCATGACCGAAAAACTTTTGACCCGGGTACAAGCCGCTGAAATGGGCTTACTGACATGAGTCGCTTGCCTTAGATATTTGCTGCGATAGTTTCATATACAGCCGCTGCTTCTGCAGATTGAGAAGTCACAGCTGCGTCTGTTTGGGCATGTGTTTCGAATGCCTGCAGAATGGAAGGCGAAGCAAGTGTTTCTTGCCCAGCCGACCGGCAGAAGGCCCAGGGGCCGGCTTCGATTAACCTGCTGGAACTTTAATGGAAGAATTTGCTCTCGTCTCCAGTGGTGTTTTGTTATCACGTAATCGGGAGCGTTCGCAGCACTGCCTGATGCGTCTGCCTTCTCGACGCAAAAGGATAGGCAGTTATAGGGTGTGGAGTGAATCGTGAATGAAAAATGTATTGGAAAATGTTGTGGTTAATTGTGATGTGTTGCGATAACATTTCAGTGTAAATTTTTATTCTATCATATGTATTGAATGTAACTGTTTAATTTACCGTAATGCCTTCAGACGTTCAAGTAGACTTCGCCTTCGACTTTCATTAGACATATATCGAATCGTCTGTGTAGATGAGACTTATTACGTGATCCTTGAGAAATGCATGCAACAGGTATAAAGTTCATTATACGAAACATATGCCTTAGAATTAATTTGTCCATGACTTTAAGTCATGAATATAGTCACTGAACTGAACGTTCTAAACAGTTAATTCGAGAATAATCAATTTTCCGTTGTAGCCTCTATGTTAGCAACGACGTATATCATATGAACTCCGAGCTGACTGAATATGTCTTATCGCCTATGTCAGCCAGCATGAAAATGCCGAAGGAAATAAAACCCTGCGTTGCCGCTCGGAATATCACATTGATCACAGACGATGAAACACAGTCAGCATGTAAAGTGCTTGTCGGCCTACGCTGACGACGGTTTGTGCGATACGGTCAGAGATGTAGATATTAGTTTATCGAATGTTCGCGAATGT